TATCGTGAGATTAAGACACCCTTAGGTATTGGTGAGACCAGCATACATTCAATATTGCATGAACATTTGACTGTTAAAAAAAATTTTCGCGTTGGATCTCACACAATTTGTCAATCGCTAAAAAAAGGCTCGTGTCGATTGGTCGAAAGAAATGCTCAAAAATACGATCGCGGTGCTTCGAAACACGTCTATGACATCGTGGCAGGTGATGAATCGTGGATTTACGCGTATGAGCCGGAAGTGAAAGTAAACAGCAGACGACTGTATGGGTGTTTCAAGATGAGCAAACTCCAACAAAAGCTGTTGGCGCACGAAGCACTTCCAAACAGATGGTCGATTGTTTTTTCTGAAAAAGTGAACATGTCGCAACCGTACCACTAGAAAAACGCAGAACAGTCAATTCTGAGAGGTACACAACGATTTGTTTGCCAGCTGTCTTCCAAGAAATCAGGAAAACCAACCGCCGAAGATGGATCACTCTTCACCACGATAATGTGAGCTCTAACACATCGGCTCAAACAACTGCATTTTTGAGCACCCAAAACATCAATATGATGAGTCATCCGCCGAATAGTTCTGACCTGGCACCGAATGACTTCTTTTTATTCCCGTACGTTTTATTCCCGTTAAACAAACTAAGAGGTCAACGTTTTTCGACACCTGAACAAGCATTCAGAGTGCATGTTTTGGAGATACCTCAATCAGAGTGGGAACAGTGCTTCGACAATTGGTTCAAACGCATGCAAATGTGTATACATCTTCATAGGGAATATTTTGAAAACCAATAAAGTGATTTTCGATTGTTAATATTTTTTTTGTTCTCTAATCCTGAAATATAAAAGGCAACCCTCGTACTTCAACGTGTATCCTCTCCTCTTTGACCAGTGCGGAAGGGAGGCCCTACTAGTAGCGTACTAGTACCGCCGGCGTAGCTCTCCGGATCACGGGAGTACTCACTCTCAGTGGCGGCCCTGGAAATAGACAACAGGGAGGACACACAAAGTCGCAGGATTAAAGAAAATTAGGCATTTGAAAGATTGTTATATTTGGATTGTTGAAGTCACAGAAGTAATATTTACAATCGAATTATCTCCAAAAGTCTGTCTAAACTCAGGATCTATAAATTAAATTTAGTCTTCTGTTTTTAAATTCTGCAAATTTATCTATTACTAATTCATTGAAATTAACAGAGTCTCGTAACAGAACTCTTTCTATTGATAACATACAAAGGACATTCAATCTCTCTTCCGACATGGTATTTCTTAAAAAATGTCTTAACTCTTTTTAAAGTGGAGAAAGCTCTATCAGATTCTACAGTTGACATTGGTGTTGAACAGATTACTTTCAATAGTTCGCAGAAAACACATCAAATAAGTTATTATTAACTAACAATGCCAAAAGTGGTAAAATTCCTTCAGCACAGCCCAAGTCACTCCTTTTATAAAGCACATTTAGTTCTGATTTCAGTTTGCTAGCTTCCACTAACGGATAGAACTGTAAAAAGTGATCAACCTTTTGTTGGAGGAAATTTTCCTGGTATTGTTGGAACATTTTACAGTCAAAGAGAACACAAGGTCCAATGCCCCGTAAAATTAAGACGGTCATTTACCCCTGTGATAATTACATCACATATTTCAGCAGGGATACCAGAGCTTTCTAATTGTATTGTTGTCAGATTCTCCATCAATTATCTCCTCTAAACATTTGATTAGATCATCTTTGTGAGCATAAACAACAAGAACTGTCCTGCTCTGAAAAGACCAACTAGTGTTTGGTCCGTGGGGGAGGCATCTTTTCACTACATTGTTTAACACAGTCATTCGTTTGGATGAACGTGAAAAGAAAGCAGCAAATCCTTCAAGACTAGAAAAAAAATTCTGGCCATTTTGTTTTGGGAAGCACATTTTGCTACTATTAAATTCAACTGGTGAGCGTAGCAGTGAACGAAGTGTGCAAAACAATATTTTTTTTGCAAAATAGCTTGCACAGTATTAGCCTTCCCCGACATCACTGATACTCCATCATAACTCTGACCAATTAATTTGAATTTTTGAGGCAATTGAGGCATGAGGATTTTCATGCAATTTTCAAATCTCAAGCTGCTCTAAAATATTCTGACTAATACTCTCAGATGTGTGAGCCTTTGGGATTATAAATCCCCAAAAGCATTCGTAAATTTTACTGTCGTGTACATATCTGATTACCAACTGACTCTGAGTAGAGACATCAGTAGTTTCATCAGCCTGAATTGCAACAAAATCTGCGTTTTCTACTTCCCGTAATATTAAAGAACGTGCAACACTCAATATTGTATCCAGCAATTCATTTTGCACAACCTTTGATGTGCCTAAGAAACCACTTTTATTTTCGTTCAGATGTTTCTTCAAGATATTGTCATCGTCACTCATTAAATTTATCAATCTATGGAACACGCCCGGATTGGAGGAATCAGCCGATTCATCGTGCCCTCTTAAAGCTAGCTCAAACGAACCACAAAAGCGAACGCAATATATAGTTCTGATTAAAATTTATCTATTTTCTCTCACGTTTTCATTGTGTTCCTTAACAGAAGTTTGTAAGCTGAATCGAGTTGTGATTGAATGTTTACAGAACCCAGTATTTGAAATTCAATTTCATAATGAATGTGTTTTTCACTCATGGCGTGCTTCCTTACTTTCTCTTTCAAATGTTTTATATCCTTCACACCTTTCACTGTCCAGGATTCATCAGTATGGGGCGAGAATATTAAACGCACAAAGCAAAAAAAATGCGTGAAATTCATCACAACCACAAAGCCAGTTTGCCAGTAAATACAACTTTTAATGAAATTTTCGTACAAAAGAACGATTGCCATTTCTATCAGATTGTGCAATTTTCATATCAGGCCGAGGTGGTCCAAATCTCTTTACGCACAAAATTGCTAATCATAATCAAGATTGACTGTTTTAATGTAATTTACGGGATTGGAAACCATTCTTAATCTTCGATCACAACACGAACTGAACGTACAGATTGAAACCCAGAGCACTCGCAGTTTGTCTATGGATCGGAAAGATGATGCCGTTTGCACTCTACTCACTGCACTGAATACTTGTGAAGGAGGGATTAGTTAAAGAGAACACCAGCAGATAGCACTGGCCTTGACGTAAATTATGTGAAAGAAATACTGTAAGTTTAAAAATCGATCAATAGGCTGTGCCGGGCAACGAGGCTGCTACTTTCCTTGGCAGCCAGCTGGGCGGCGGCCGTCATAAGACGCCATTGGCCGAACCCATGTTGCCATTTCAACATTCATTGGCAGTGATTTCTATGTCTGTAAGTTCCGTAACAACACCGCGATTAGGACACAGAAGCGAGTGTCCGCAGCCAATGAAAACCTTTCTATGGAACAAGCGGGAATATGAAAGCTAAAGATGCGTTCGATTCGAAAACAACGCTACAGATGAATTATTCAACCCACAGAGATTATTTTAAACAGTGCAGGAGGGGAAATACTGATCTGAGTAGGAGGGGGGCAGTGTCCCTAGCGCCTCCCCGCCGCAGCCGCCACTGCTCAATCTGCACCTTCAACGTCAAGGTCATGTACTCACTAGGTTTCGTGTCTGTTGAAAAGCGCTGTTCATGTGTAAGCGAGAAATGGTAACTTACAGTGACTTGATAATTTATTTCACATTATTACGAAATACAATTAATAACTAAATGATTTAATAACACAACACATAACAAAAAAGGAAAGAATTCGCCCTTCAGACATATTCCTGTCACTAAAATATTTAAAAGAAAATGTAGTAAGAAAATAAACAGAAAATAGTAATAGGTAGTGAAGAAGATAAACATAATACAATTCTCAGTTATTTGAAAGAAAAAAATCACATGGCCGCAATCCAGTGCCGGAGCTAAACAATGTTTGGCGGGAGAAAATTCTAAAACGTAGCCCCCCCCCCACCCTTTAAAAATTTAAAAATGTGAAAATGGTATCAAGAAACTAAGTTATTTTATTTCTTTCAACAAATAGCTAAAACTACAACGTTTAAGCTAGAAAAGATTTTCGGAAATATATTTTAAATAATAGTTTGAAGTAAAATTACTTAGTGACCAAATAATCCAATTTCCACGGTGAGCTTAAAACACTACTTAAGACTGTTGTGTTTAGTTAGTATTTGATATAATCATGATAAATATAAATGACATAATGATAATAAATATGAATTTCAGTAGAACCTCTTCATGCTAGCGTCATTTAATTGACCCCTACCTTAGAAGTAATCGCTATAATTAATTACTTAAGGCAAACATGTAACTGCATATTTTTTAAACTTATAAAATGACGATGACGATCTTCTGCTCCTCCTGTCTCTGTTGTGTCCCGTCGCGAGGCCTTGAGCGCCTGGCGCGGCCCGGGCGATCGCCGGCCGCCCCTGCCGCGCAAGCTACCTTAAACCATTGAAGGTTTTTCGGTCGATGTGTGATGTTTGGTAAGATGGATGTGTTGTTAGCGAATTCGCAATACTATTGCAACACAACCACGCCGAAACTTAGAAAGTCAGTATTTACAAATAGCTTATGATGAAAGTGGTGAAAATGATTTTGTTTGTGCACAACCCGACCTGTCAGCCTCGTGTCGTAACCTTTCCTACTCACAAAATTATTGTCTCATTTACCACACTTATCATCCCTAATCTGGTTCAACACATTTCCACGCCTCAAGAATGGGGATATTTTGGAATGAATATATTAGTATATTTAAGTATTTTAATACGATTTTAACAAACATTGGGAACATTTTAAAATGGTCTAGAAATTGCGAATCGTTACAGATATTTCGCACACGCCACACGTTTCGCACTCTATGTAGCAAACTCACACGGGAAACAAGCCCGAGATATCGCGTTTCGCGTACATGTAAAAAAAATTGTTTTTGTCTAACTTGTTCATTTAATATTTTCAAAAACATATTGATTTTTAAAAATATTGGTATTTACAAAAATATTGATAGTTTAAAAAGTGAAACATTTTCTGGCGAAGCAGTCCAAGTGTGTTGTGGGTAGAGGGGGCTTACCTGTGACCCTGAGGTGCACCTGCCGCACGCGCGGCGGGTGCGTGGCCACCTGGCACTCGTACAGCCCCTCGTCGCGCCGCGTCACGTACACGATCTCCAGGCGCCAGTTGCTGGGGTAGCGGAAGCTCAGGCGGATGCGCTGGTCCGAGCTGTACTCCACCTTCCCCACCGTCAGCAGGTGCATCGAGTCCGCCTTGCGGTGCATCCACGTCACCTGCGCACGCCCACGCGCACGCGCACGCGCACGCGCCAGTCAGCCACTCGCACGCCAGCCCCTGCGCAAGCGCACCGAGCACACTCGCGCTCAGCCAGTGCCAGTGACCGCATGGCAGGCGATTTACGCTCATCGCTGAGTGAAGGCTTCGTTTGAGACCTGTTTACTGTGTCGATGCGCTTGCGCAGGTAGATGTGCGAGTGCGCTTCTAACCCTCTTAGTCTTCTTGTGCCAGAAACATATGCTTTGCTAACAACAGACTATTGAAAGCACTGGATGTAAAGAGCTTCTAAGAAGAATGTTTCGAAACCTTTCTCTATTTTGTGATAGTAATAGTTGATGTCAAACGATTCACATTTCCTTTTGTTCATCCCCACTCTTTCCTCAGATAAGATGCGTTCAGACAGGTTGTTCATGTAGAGTGAACTTTGGCGGTTTTTCGAATATTTCTTGGCAAAACGCCACTCTTTAGAGTTTCGATATTAGTTTTTTCTAAGAGTCCGTTTTATTTCGGTGGTTAACATATTGCTTATCTTATTTTTCATGCGAAATATTAAGGCAGAATTGTATATCACAGAAGAAATAATTTCCTGTATGGCCATCATAATACTCGCACCCCACTTCCCTCGATACCGCTTCGATTTGTCCTCCTTTTAGGCCTCGTTCACAATGCAAAATTCAGCGTAAACAACGTAGACGCAAGTCCCAGAAGCGAGTTATCAAGCGAGGCCATTGACACTGCCTTGACGTAACCGTAGTCGAACTCCATAAACCTAAGAGTTCACAAGTACTAACCTTTTACGCTAAGTCTGCGTCGCATTTCTATCAAAGGCGAATCGGAGAGCAGCATAAAAGAAACGAACATGGTGGATTTTAGATTGTGTTCAGGTAGTTAGTGATTATGTCGTTTCATTACTGTTATATACTGAATTAGTTTACGAACGGTTTTGATGCGGTAGTGAATTGAAAGTATGAAATTGGGAGATATTTCTTGGGGCTTAATGTGGCGAATAAATTACTATTATTACAAGAATTACTTGTGAATTTATTCAAGAGAATTCTTGTTCATAAAATAAATGAAATGCGAGCACTAATACAACAGCTTCTCGCATTTATATACAAGGTTACTCAAACTGATTGTTGGGTTTCAAAAAATCAAAATACATGGGGTAATTGATTTAAAACTTACTGTGATCCCATAAAAAGTTTTTTTTACATACATTTCAAATGCTCAATATGGGCACCCTTAGTCACTCGACACATATCCACCCGATAGTCCATATCTTCCCAAACGCGCTCCAACGTCTCAGACTGATAACTTAGGAATCTGGCTCTCATGCACTGATTCAGACCCAGAATAATTTGACAGCAGAAAAAGAATAAAGACTCGATCTTAAACATATGCCCACAGGAAAAAATCAATGGGCGCCAGCTCTAGAGAACGTGATAGCCAGGGGAAGAGCATCCGCTCACGGTCCGTCCTGCGTTCGATCCACCTTTGTGGACGTTGATCATTTAAAACGCTCTTACATGCCTGCGGAAATGAGGTCGTGCGCCATCCTTCTGTTGTCTTTCAACAGGGACAATTCCAACTTTCACTTCCCGGCTGCCTCTTGTAGTCGATTGTTTAGGATTACGGAGATAAGCTTCCCTGCTCTGATTCACTTCCACTTCTAGCCTATCGGGTCGTCCAACTTTTTCGTCCTTTACGTAAACAGCTGGTATACGTAAATTTACCACACCTCCTCGTACAACTCTGGGAACTGAGTTGTGAAGAGTATTTCGTTCGAAAATGGCGCTGAACTATGGTAGTGGATTGATATTGATGATATTCAAGAGTACAAAACGCTTTCTTTAACATCTCACCGCCATTTTAAAACACTGTTGTTTAGTGCCGTCTGACGTTAACTGAGATAACTACAGACGTTGCATACCGAAACTTCCAGTTTGTAAGCAGTAACTACAATAATCGTATTTAATTCCATTGTCTCTAAAAATAGTCACCGAACCCCCACAATCATTTTGATAAAATTGTATAAAGAAAAATCTATAGGAAAATCGAAGAAAAAGTTAGAAACTATGGTGAAAAAACTTTCCACCATAGTCGAAATGAATCGACAATCGATCCAGTTTCATGATATTCATGCTTTCTGCTATTTTTTTGCCGCGTCTCAAAGAGTTGGGTCACCGAAACTGCATACCGTGCTAGGAATGCTTGCCAACATCCAAAAACAACTTTCAACGCGCCCAATACGCGTATTGCTTAGCTTCTCTACAATTTCGCAACGAAACTGCTCGCGCCTCCAGGTTCTAAAATAATGCTATATCGTCAGGTGTATTATGTGGGGAAAATCGGATTCAGAGAAACTACTACTATGCACAAAGTTTCGCCGGCAATATTTTTCATAATAATTTACATCGGAAGTATTATATAGTACATATGCTCGCTTATTATAGGTCGGTAGTCGTACTCTCAAACACTTTTAAATAATTATTTCATATTCATAATTATTAATCGGGCGATATCACGGGACCCGCTTTTGTTGATCTAGATAGTTTGCTCAGCGGTTCTGCAACGGGGGGGGGGTGGAATCAGGGTGCTATCAGGGCGAGCCGTGAACAACGCAGAGAAACTCATTGGGATGATTGAGCACTTCAGAATTAACCACAAAAATAAATCTAAACTGCCCTATTTTTGCATCAAGGAGAAGTTGATCCCGACAGGGCGCGTGCGAGTGCGCGCAGTGGGTGGACGACGTGGATGCAAGCGGCTTCCACAGATAATGGCAGCCCAGGCCGCACGCGCCCCGCGGGTCGCCAGTTGGACAGCCCTGCTCTAGGGACACAGGCGCCCAAATACTGCACTAGTTAACTTTGTATTATGCAAAGTCAGTTTCACTGTTTCCTACAATTGATTTAACAGTTGCTCCATTATTTTTCATAGACGCATTCATTCATAGATGTGTGTTTTAAACCTCTTCCGGTCTTCCGCACGGGACAAACAGGTTCGATAAAACTTCGTTTCCTGACGGAGAATGCATTTTCTTTGCAGACAGAAGATCCACAGAAATTTCTCAAAGAAACGTGTATGTTAAGCCACTAAAACGTATTTAGAGAGACCTACAGAGGAGACGAATAGCTCATTCGAGTTTCTAGATAAGATAAATCGATTGGCACATATTGTAGCCGCTCCCCTGTATGATATTCCGAAAGAACTTGCTACCAGGACGACACATATTTTTGATTGTTTCACGAATTAGCAAGCTAAATGCTATGAACTACTTAGCTCTCTTTTTACTATTTGCGTGAAAAGTTTTGACTTGATTCATCAGATTATCAATAATTAATCCTAATTTGATAAAGAAATAATAACTTAAATACGTATTTTTATTAATACCTTTTCATGTAGCTTTCATTGTCCTCATGAACAAACCAGGCAACTGTAACGTGTTTAAAATATTTTTATTGTTCACTTGCAAAACACAAACAAAACTTTTTGGATAGAAAATGCTTGCCATAGGCATCACGCTACGAATTCTGATCATGCCTTCATTAGCAATACATCAAAATGAGGCGCCCACTCCAAGCTTAGACGTTAGGAGAACATTCTGCCTTCTTGTCACTCAATGATAGGGGTGTCCAACTTTCAAGGTCGCAAGGGCCTCAACTCAAAACTCAAACCTTTGTTCAGGTGCGGGCAGCACTTTCATTCCCGGGCGATCCACACGTGAGCCCATATTGCTGATATCGGCAGATTGCCCGTCTGCTCTGAAACGGTGGGCGGGGGAATAGAAATATGTGATATGAAGCTCACAATGCATAAAGCAGCGAAGCACATTGGGATTGTTTTGGTTTTCTGAATTTACTAAAAAAAATTCTTAAATCTAAATTACCTATGTTTGTATCAATGTAGGCATGCAATGACATGGACATGAGACATGCTAGGCGCGCAATGACGTGGATGCGAGGAACTTTCATTTGTGACTAAAAACCTTTGGCAGGCCACAATAAATGGCACCGCGGGGTTCAAGTTGGATAAACGGCATGGGGCCAGCTGAATAACCTGCTGACCTACTGATTTGCAAATTCTGACTATTCGCTTCTTCTTTTTGTATTCTGTCTCTTCCTGATGTTTTTTATTCCTCCTTCCTCTCTACATGTCGCCTCCTATGTCAAAATCTGTTTGTTAAGACGAGGCCAACCTAGCTCACTTAGTCCCAAGCTTCGGGCTCAAACTTCCGTCCCAAAACTGTGGTCTTTCAGCTGTCGTGAGCGACGCACTCCGTCTGGGCCTCTCCCACTGCCAGCTTCAAGGTCTCCTTCGCCTATCTCTATATTTACCTAAGCGTGAATGCGCGGGGTGGGGCGTGGAGGGGGCGGGGGTTGCGTGGTGGGACAACGCAACGCGTGGTAGGGTTGGTTAGGTGGGTCGGGGAGGGGTGTGGTGGGGCAACCAAATGAAGTGTGGGGAGGGAGGAGGGGTGGAGGGGAAGATAGAAAACTGAACAGGTTGGACAACCACAAGATGAAACTGCGTGGCCGGGGACCGGGGAAATGTCAAAGGAAAACGAGTTAAAGAGCGGCCACGTCATTGGCCGTCTGCAGGATCCCCCCCGATCCGCGGGGTGGGACTGTATTGGGGGGAGCCACGGACAGTCTCCAGGTGTTGCTAAGGCGAAGCCCTGTTGAGGTCTGTGAGCCTCATGGAGATTTTCAAGATCTCTTTGATTATACGAGGTCACCAGTGGTCTTCTGTGGATATAGTACGGGACTCGTGGTAATTAACGAAGTGACCCTATTGGGTGTTGGGTGTAGGCCTACTTGTGGATATGTTGTAGCCGCTCATGTCGCATGTGTTCCCGCATCCACTCTTCTACCGTGCGTAAACAAGAGCACAGCTGCACGGGATTTCGTAAACGCCGGCATCTTGAAGAGGGTTCAGATCATCCTTTACCTGGATGGTAAACGGTACCGGGCTTCTCCCGATCTTGTTGCGAGCATGAAACACGGGGCGGCTATCGGCTCAGCGCAGCAATCTACCGATCTTGACCGTGACTCCTCTTATGTAAAGTACTAGAGCGGCCTTGCGGGGCAGACTGGAAGGTCGTTCCGTTCCCTCGAGGTGGGCTAGATGCACGGCGGATCCGCTGTAGCCATTAGCCAGAAAGGTCTCTCTCAATAGTGTATTTGCAGACTTAAGGCCGTTGTGGTCGCTTGTAAGGGAGGCCCGGTGGATGAGGGTGGAAAGGACACCACGTTGCGTGCCAGGTGGTGGTGTGAGTCGGCATGTAGGTAGCGATTGGTGTGGGTGGGTTTGCGGTAAACAGAACACCGAGTGCGCCATCAGGGCGCCTGGTTACTGGGGCGTCCAGAAAATGCCAGACGACGAGCGTATCGTCGACGTATCGCAGCCATAGCGACGGTTTGAAGGGCGCGCTTTCTAAGGCTTGCTCTTCGAAAACTCCTATGAAAAAATGCAACAGGGGATGGCGGAAAGCCCATAGCGGTGCCTTCTGTCTGAGCATCTTGCCGGTTTTGGAAAAACGTTGTCGTCAGGGAGTTTGGCCCACTCCCTGCGAAGCTGGTGTAGTAAGAGGTTGTCTTCCACGATCGTGATGGCGTCACTAACCTGAACCATGGTGAAGAGAGTGGTAACGTCGAAATTGACTAGGATATAGTCAGGGCCTGTTTTGGCGGAGCAGATGAGTTCGATGAAGTGCTTGGAGTTGAGGACGGAGGTCAGCATAGGTCGGTCAGAGGTTTCAGTTTCTAGGCCAAGAAACGATCTAAATGTTAGGTAGGTGTGGATGGGCTGCGGGTTTGTGGATTTTGGGTAGCCGGTGGTTGGGATGCGAGGTATGCGGTTACTGTTGGCGAACTTAAAGATTTTCTCTGTCACTGATGAAAGACACTTGATTTACGCTTGACATAACGTTTTGACTCACGCTCACAAAGGGTTGTTTTGACACATTGTTAACATGATTGTCTTTATAAGTGGCAATGATTACTAATGCCACGACTGGCCACTACAGCATTTGTGAGTGGCAATGATTTTTAATGAAGTTTTTCAAAAACTCAAGAATACTGAAAAGAGCTACATATTTCGATTTTACAGTGACGCTTAAACGCCATTTTCTTAAAAACCACTCCAAATATTTCAACGAAATTTGCAATTTAGGATGAGGTTTTTACGCTTCTTCAATACTCTTAAAGTAATTTGTTGTTTCTACTATTATAAAAGCAAAAAATTAAAAAATGTCAAAAATGTTCTTTGAGTGGCGATAGATGGCAAGTAGCAAGAGTATTATCAAGTCCATATAGCTTGCGTAGGTCAGAATAAAATAGAAAACTAAAGCGAGAAAGTCTGTGCCATTTTGTAGCACCAATAGTTTAAATCGTGGAAATATTTTTTACAGTGCATAAGAATTTACATTTCTAGATCGAAATTTATTGATTATTAGTTTATGTAACAATATTGCTAATCAAATTTTATAAATGTTACCTTAATCTAAATTTTCTAATGTTTGCAAATTCAAAATTAATGTTAATCTATATATTTTCATCACAAAGTTTTGAAATTTAATCGATTAAAGCATATAATATTTTATACGTTCTTTTTAGAAATCATATGAACACGTTTGGTATACAAGAAATAATCCAAAAGTAAATGGAACTTATAGAGCTATATCCTCGATCATATACATCGATTATTAATATTAATACAGATAACATTAGTCAAGCTTTGATTTTGAAAATTCAAATTAGTTATTAATTCTTTTATTTTACACATTTTTTGTAACTAAAATAATTTAATAATAAATTATTTTTTACTCTTTTTGTGGATACGTTATTATACTTCAATTATTCATCTTCATGGCCATCTTTAATTTACTTTCTTTTTTAATTAACGTTTTAACCCGTAACTGGCGAATGCAGTGGTGAAGAAGTGGAGAGCGCATTTGCGGAAATTGCATTGAATGAACAATTGTGGATAGTGACTTATTATTGAGGTTGTAAGTCATAACATATGATGAACCGATCCTCCTCAATCAGATTCGGGTTCTGAAAATACACTTTTATAATTAGTATGTGTATTGGTACAAATTATATACAAAGTAGTTATAAGAGTAATGTTAGTAGAGTAAAATATTAATGTTGACCCACATTGTAGAGATAATTACTGTGATTCATGTTTAATTATATTTTTATTAATCTTAATGATAATGCATAAACTTTCTTGTTCATATCACCAAAACTGACGCTTCTGTTACTTCAAAAATTTGTGGCCTTCTTCAGAGCGTACTGCTGAATACTGGAGGCGGGGCGGGTGGAAGGGCAAGTGGAAAGGCGGGTGGCCGTGCGGCGGCAGGCGGGGTGGCAGGGCGGGTGGCAGGGAGGGTGGCAGGGCGGGTGGAAGGGCGTTGCGGGCGGTGGCAGGCGGGTGGCAGTGGCGGGTGGCAGCGTGGGGCAGGGGGGTGGCAGGCAGGTGGCGGGCGGTGGCGGGCAGGGGCGGGACGGGCGGCGTGGCGTGCGGGTGGCCGGGCGGTGCAGGGGGTGGGCAGGCGGGTGGCTGGGCGGGTGCGGGCGGGCTCGCGTGGCGGTGCGTGGCGGTGTGCTTGGCGGGTGGAGGGCGGTGGCAGGCGGTGGCTGGGACGGTGGTGGCAGGTGGCGGGGCAGGTGGGGGCGGGGGGCGTGCGGGTTGGCTGGCGGTGGCCGGGCGGGGTGCAGGGCGGAGGCGGCGTGGGCGCCCGGCTGAGAACGAGGCGCGGGTGGGTGGTGGCGGGGACCTCGTGAAGAGGAGGGCGGGTGGTGTAGGTATGGGGCGCCCCTTCGCGACGCGAGGGGAACGACGCTCTGACTGCCTCGTTCTCCTGTTTCCGCCTTGGCCCTGGAAAGGCCAAACGTACTCCAGAAATGTGTTTTTTGAACTTCTGTATCAGATACGCCAATTTACGTTATACCAAATGGTTCATAATACAGCATCTTGCGGCACAGATTGTGATGTATTTTCGGTTTATAGCGCGAATAATTGCCTCGTCACACATTCATCCAATCGCAGTGCGAGAATCTTGAGGAGGTATCGGTAAGCATCACCATTTACTCGCACAAATGTTTTGCAATTTGCTAACCTTACTCAACATCTCTTAAAATCAGCAAAGCGCTTTATAACTATTCACAAATTACTTGAAAATGACATTTTATTTCAATTTAAATTCTATAATAGTATAGTACCGGAAACGGTTCGAACTAGGATGAACTACTCTATGGAAACGTTCGCTCTTATCACACATGATATCGTAGCACTTCACACTCAAATTCTAACCGAATTGTGTACTCAAATTCAAAGACATGTCCTTATTATACTGATTTAATTTCCAAGACAAATAAATACCTTAACAGAACACAATTAAATTAAAAAATAATTATTTACAAACGTCATTACACTTTCCAAATTGGTTTTAACTCACGTTCCAAAGCGATGTGCTGAAAAACATACAAGACGTTCGTTTCATTCGGGAACATACAGCTTTCTCCCCGTCCCGTTCTACTACGTAAAGTACAGTTTTCAATCTGAGCACCTCGAAATTTCCTAATTTAATAAATGCAAATTTCATTGGAGTGACCACTGTTGAAAGCAATTCTAGGCGGTAACACGCTTAGCATTTGAAACGCACTTCAAGATTTCCTGTTGTAATACAGTTATTTTACCTTTCCTGCTCGCGCTCGCCCTGGCCGACCACCGGCGCTCGCTTGGGCGCTGACCCCGTTACTCCCCGCGCACGGGGAGCGGGCGAGACACCGTTGCCCAGCTGGCTCCGGGCGACGCCCTCCGCCCCGCCTTCCGCACACAGGGCGCAGACACGCCCAGCCCGTGCACGCGGAAAAGTACTTACGGTCTTTAATAATGCTTGGCGTCGCGTTCGGCACGCACTGTCAATCGCACATTCTAATCCGTTTCACCGCTTTCGATTTGCAGAATATTTTCTCTAGAATTTCCTCAACTACTTTGTCATTCAATCCAGTTCAACTTTTACTTCAGTTATATTAGCTCCGACTTTCTCCACTATCTCGCATACAAATCACGTAAATTATCTGGAATTATCTTTCTCTTCACTATGCAAATTTTCCTATCATTTACTAACAAGATGGTGACCTCATGCCTGAACACTATAAGTTGGTAGATTAGACTGACTCTGCCGGCAATCTTATCAAGAAGGGCTACTGGTCATCTGTGTGGCGCATTTATGGGCCGAGACTTGACAGTGGAGGGGTGGTATCGCGTCACGACTCTGGGGGACTGACCCCCTCGTTCGCCATGCGCAGCAAGCGCCGCGCTACGTTGCGGTCAGCAAATACTAGAACGCGTCCTATCCGTGCTGAACGCAGCGGTGGGCTCTGAAGCGATTATACGATGCCGGAGTTGCGCATGTATTGTAATGGGACGGCGCGTGTTTTATAAAATTATATTGAATACGAGTATAAAGTACCTGCAAAAGATGCCAGGAAACGTGGAGTTTTTCTCTATCTGTAAGCGTTTCCGGGGCGCGGGGGACGCTGAGGCATGCAGGCCTATTGCCTCGGCACAACCCACGCCAGGCCGCATCCGGTGACTCATGGGAAAATACGGTCGCCATGCCTCCGAGCCCGGCAACGTCGCTGTACCCTTTTCACGGAACTCGGATGACGTTACAGTTCCGCAGAATTTGGCAAGTCTGGGGCTTTTGTCAACGACGCCGCGATTAGGCGGAAGAAACTTATCGCAGGAAATAAGGCGGGGGAGGGTCACGTGACCCGCGAATCCGAGAGGGCAAATGCAAGACGTGCTGATTACGATCAGGGAGACAAGAAGTAGCATTGTCGCCTCCCGAATGCATTGCCCCATCGCCACATCACAAGCAGCCTCTGAACGCGCGCAGTGGGCCATGACCGCGAGCCGAGAGTGCCGACAGGCCGAGCAGCGCTCTTGGCGCATCGATGCCGCAGCCATCATCAGGTCGCCCCACCTGCCGCCCGACCGCCTTGCTAGTGGGCAAAGGGGTGGGATGAGACGCCGCCTGCCGCTCGATCCCGTTGCGGATGGACAAAGGGTTGAGGCCAAGGGGTGATGGGCAAAGAGGTGGGTCACGCCAAACGCCGGGGCGCGGGGCCGCTGCTCCCGCGGGAAAGTTCGTAACCACCGGGGGGACACCGCCCGGCAGCCGATGATGAACCCTGAACATGTAAGATAAGATATAAGGTAGTTCTGAGTATTTATTTTAACCTGAGGCTTCACCTCGTTCAAAAAGGAACATTGAAACCACCTTTCAAAAATGAAACCATGTGTTTAAATGTAGTGGTAGCATTAGAGTTGTAGTAGTAGCCCTATTACGCATGCCTCCCTTTAGGGAATCTGCGGACTGAGCATTCGGGGCAACGCTGCATTGGATGAAATACAGGTTATATATATTCAGATCGGACATCGGGACTAATATTTTGGGGAAATTCTGCTTGCGCTTTAGCCGCTAGTGTTGTTCACAGACGGCCACACGGACCTAGGAAGAGAATTGGGGCATGGCAGTTTAGAGCAGTAGCGAGAAGGGAAGGGCAGGAGGAGGATGACAAAGGGTGGGGGTTACCGGAAGAGGGGAAAAGGTTCAGTGGGGGTGGACGGGGAAAGTGAAGAGGGTAAACCTGGGGGAGCGACGCTGGTTAAAGTATCCTTAATCCTGGGGATTTTGCCGCTTTCCAACTCCGCACCACCTAAGCGGATTTTTGCACAGCGCAGTAAACATTTCTTAAATGTTTTTTCAATGGCCACAGAACGCTGCGACTTAAAACACGAACGTCTAACATTTATATTGCATCTTCTCTTGCTCTGAGATAAAATGTTTATTTCCTTGTACAACTATTATTATCCCTTACCGTGCCTTACGATATGGAATTGCTTCTACCCCTAAAACATAAAGAAAAACACGAAACCTTGACTGAATGCCGTCTTTTACGGATACTATCAAATGTACTATATAAAATGACATAAAAGCCATTTTGCTGCATTCATTTTTTTAATTAGCTTTTTTTATTTTCTTAAAACGTCCCTCGCCGTTAATATGCAGTTTTCAGCGATGTATACATTAAGTTGCATTTGTAGTTAGAAGTGCTCCAAAAGATTCCCAATAAATTTTATTGTAAAATCAAAATCTTTCTATGAAACAAGAGCTTCAAATTACGCATTTTCAGTAATGCTTAAACTACTGATTCTTTTTGTCATAAAAATTGTACTTATTTTAATTATATGATATGTACATTTCAATGCTTAAATCCGTTTGTTCCGAAATTAAGGTTTTGATTTATTTGTAATTTTCTGACTACCTACGCAAATGTTACGTTCCATAAATTTGAACGGATTTGCATTTAGATGGCACAGAAGTGTGGCGAGGAGTGAGTGTGTGATAATTTGAAAGAAACATCAAATAGTTAAAAAAAAACAGCACACTCCTCAAACTAAAAGTAGAAGGAGATTATTAAATGATGGGAGGAAGGAGATAAGTAAGCCAAAGTGTAGGGGGCAATGTATGCTGTAAAATGTTTCAAAGCAATAAGTACTTTTCGCGTAATTTTGTCCAGAATATTGACATTTTTACTCTTTCGCGCTTAAGAAGGAAAGATAGTATTGTAATGCTGCGCGAAAAAAAACAGCGTATTTCCGGCAGAGAAACACTAATTACAGAGCCATGGTAACGAAAAAGTGGAAAAATCCAAATGTTACATTTAGAAAAAATATCCTCTAACACGTGGTGTAACCAGAATCCATGTTTTGTGCGTCGTTGATACCGAAAAATAAATTGACACTGTCTGTTCGTCTGTCTTAACAACACTTATTAACACTGTCTGTCCGATGATCTCCAAAACTGGTATTTCCCAATTCATCTAACTCATTTCACGGTTCTTTGAATTTGAAACTAATATTTTAATTTTGGGTGATACTTTATATGACGCCCCTGAGACATTTTCATAAATTAAAAAAAATGGAGCTATTTTTTAAAATTAAATTTTCTTATTGGGTACCCTAAAGGACATTTCAGATGTCTCAAGTTGATTGAAACCTGTCTTTTCGAAAATTGAAAAAATTCAAAATTTTTTTCGGGGTCTCCCTACAACAAAAATATTAATAATAGAGATTTTTTAACTTAATGAAATCTGTTCTCTAAAGATAAATTTTGAAATAAAGTCATGAAGGATTTTTCGAAAATTTGATTTTCGCGTGAAACACAGGCAACTTTTAATTTTTGTTTAAACATTTTTTCCCAAAAAGTTCCCAAACGTTTGATGTTCTGGAGATTCAAATTTTGAAGAGCAAGCAAAAAGGTTTTAAGTGGGTTTGTAGTTGAAATTGTTTTTTTCTTAACATTTATAGTTGAAGGACCCTACAGAGGTCACATAGTTAAAGAAAAAAAAACTTTTAATGCAAAGAAAGTTGAATATATTTTAAGAGCACCGTTAACACAAAAACGGCAAACAAACGAACGTTTTTGTTTGTACCGATTCAATTGACCGAGGAATTTCATTCACAGATGTTTGAGCGTGAGTCAACTACTTCAGACACTAGTCCCGTACGTTAAGTACATGTTACATACAGGGCGGCCGATCCACGTGATTGAGATCGAAGTATTCGAAGGTGGCATGCAGATCTGCGCCAATAGTTCCCTTAGAGGTCTCTTTGTTCTCACCGTTCAAGCGCACACGGGAGACGCCGAAAAACGCATTCAAAGTTGCATACTTCCGGACGTTTAATTTCAGTTTCGAATAAGCGATACTGTCTCATTTCAATGCGTTCGTAAGTAGACAGTAGTAGAACTAGAATAGGAAATGTTGATATTTAGAGTAACGGTACAAAAAGTGCACCAATAACATTTCACGAGAGCGTGGAAACAGGAATGCGATAGGGACGTGAAGCAAGGATGGCAGGAGCCTCACGTAGCTCACCGTCTTGTCGTGCAGCAGGCCCACGCGGCAGTCGAGGCGCGCCGTGGAGCCCACGCGCGCCGTGACGTTGGCGGGGCCCTCGCCGTCCTCGAAGTAGGGGCCGTAGCGCGCGCTCTGGTGCAGGTGCGGCGCCGGCGGTGGCCGGAAAGGGCGGCGCGACGGCAGCGGCGCAGGTAGGGCGGGCGACGAGGGGACTGCGGCCGGAGTCGTTCGCACCGTCGCCGGCGTCGACGCCGCTGGCGCCACCGACCACTGAAGCAGACGAGCAGGACGGATGCAGAACGACAGGGTGGTTTTAAGCCTTTTACTTGCCCTCTGAAGCAGCACAGAAAATTCGCTAGCCTTTGGTTGCCGGCGCTAGAAAGAATGCTCTGAACGAGCTTTGTAATCTCAAGGGGCAAATCTTCTGGGGTATGATAAAGATTTACATCCAGACAAGACTCAGGTAAAAACAGGGCGTATATTCTCCACAATATGACACATAACAGCACTGACAAAGAATGCAATATAATCCCAAATATCAAATTGCACACAAATATTCAATGCGAAATCAAAAACACTGATCACATCCTTTAAAAATTGTTATTGCTTATCACTCAGCTTCGAGTACTTCTTCCTAATTCGCTGTGGTACAACAAATATCCGTGCACGGTAGCTTGCCTGGCCAGCACCGTTTAAACAACAAATATTAACTCTCTTTACTGAGGAGTGCAACAAAATTGTGTTCCTCTTTCTACACAGACTCTTAGATTTTATGCAGAACACATTATTTAATTGCTTACTTACTACAATTATTTGCAGTGAAATTTCCCTCGTCAAGTTTAACACAGCTTTTTTTCGTAACATGTACATTTAGAATGAACTGTATTACCAGCGTACAAGGTTCTTTCAGTTGCTCTGCATTTACCTAGATTTTACGTGAATATGCAAATTTACAATCACAGCCTTTTTGCTGCTTCTGCTATCGTTCAAGTCTCTGTTGGCTCCTAATCGTTTTACTAAATATCTGTCACCTTGACGGGTGCTCAATACGCGGCTTGCAAACCGTTCGGCGTTGCCGTCGTTTGACGTTGGCCCACTTCTGGCTGCACGGTAACTTTGCTTCCTCGCAGACCAGCCGTCCACGATGTCGTTCAAAAACGCAATATTTAATTCATTTGAATTAATGCCTTATTTTACGTGGCGTGACTCGGGCCACCTGGCCCGTTCTACTGTCTGACCACGCGAATTTCGCTACGCTCCTTTCAGCAACTAGCAGAGAAAGGAGGTATTTCTTGGGCGAGAAACAGGATTCCCATTCGTAACTAAAAGGCTAAGGACAGATCGCGCGGTTACCTTATCGATACATTTTAGACGTTTCTGTAATATTTTCTTGTGTTTCTCATTTTTATTCTTACTGCACTTTTACCATTTTTCTCAAGACCTATTTTTGGGAGGGGCATGCCCCGCCCCCTCCGGTCCTCCGCTGCAAGTTCGCCACTAACATATCCAAGTGCTTGGGACGTGAATTTGTTTTGATATACAATTTTACCTCATTTTTCTTCGCATTTGGGCATATTAAAACATGCCCAAATGTTTTTTGGTTGTTCATTTTGGTGATGTTCTAGGACATCAAAATCCATTCCAAGTTATATTTTCCCATCTTAGGGACATATATAAATGCTTGACTGTGGGTCGCGTGTGATCGATAATTTAAGCTTTTTTATTCAAAATGTTTTGGTCGAATGTGGCATATTACAGATTATACAGAATGACGCAGGCTTAACACAGCTTTTGATGCTCTTTGATGCTCTAAAACGAATGTTTCAATGAGAATCCAAAAATATTTTTGCTTGAAACTTGCGTGCAAGGTAAATTTAATGGTTACTGAAAAATTTGGAGGAGGGGAAAATATCCCTCATTTGCCCTCTCCCCCTTGAATCCTCGTTTAATGAAGGAAGTGCGCTTGTAGGAATATCTTCTTGTAAATTAGTCACGTTGGCTGTGAACCATCTCTTTTTTCAGGAACAATAGTTTACTTGAAAATTTGGCAGGTCACAAATGAGACGACCCTCTATCCTTGTAGTTAATACGTGTACTGAAGCACTTGAGCAAGGTTATGATGTTTGTCGTTCTTACAACGCTCATAGCGATATTAATAGGTACGTATACCGAGTCTGCCCGTGAAGCAGATGATCCTAGCAGAGGACTACAGCTGCGGGGTGATAATGCTGGGAGTATATTGGATTTATTTAGATCTGCCTCTGAAGTAAATCAGCTGTTACGGTGAGATCCAATCGAAAGAATTACACGTCACAATGGTGACGCTCTAACGTCCGATTGGCTAATGCGGTGACAGCTGATGAACGGCAGGGGCAGCTCTGACTGGAGTATAAGGTGCCTTACCGCTCCTGCAATGGACGTCTCTGCGGCGGTGGCGGCGGCGGCGGTGGCGGTGAGCGGTGGCCCTGAGGGCGAGGGCGCGGGCGCGGGCGCGGGCGTGAGCGTGGGCGAGGGCGACGGGAGGGCGGAGGCCTTAGCCGGGGCCTCGCTGGCGGCGCGTGTTGTCGTCGGCGGCGGCAGCGGCGTGTCGGCAGCGGCGGTGGGGGCGGTGGGGGCGGCGCCGGGCGGCGCGCTGGCAGAGGGGCTCGACGACTCCGCCGGCGCCAGCGACTCGCGCCCGACCGCCGCCCACGCAGTGTCGTTCTCTGCAAAGCAAACGCTCAGAGGCTGCAGGGTGTGGGGCGAGCATTCGTACCCGCAGGGCGCGCTCATCGGGGCGAGCAGCGGGAAGGAACTCGCTCCCGGGACTTGAGGCGTCCGAGCGAGGCTAGGCGGACACAGGTCAGATTGGAACAGTTAGTGGGTGGGATTTCCCTCAACCAGGTATCTCCCACCAGCCGGGACAACCGTCTCTCGACTGCCTCCCGGCCTGTGTGGCAGTGAAGTGCATGTTAGTGCAAGTGGTGGGGATAGGAAGAGGAAAGGAAGTTGTGTTAGGGTACTGCTCCGGCATTCGCCGGGTGTTGATCTGAGAAACCGCGGAAAACTTTTGATCACAGCAGCCGGTAGCTATAATCCTCCTCCAACCAGTGACTGCATTCGACCTAGCTGACAAGCTACTGTCGAAAATCCAGCCACCGTCGGGACTCGAGCCTAAGACCTCCCGATCAGAGACACAGCAGTGACATCAGTTAATGCACTGAGCCACCACTCCTAGCGAAGTGTTAGTGGAGAGACAAGTCCCTAGTCTTAAGTTCCACCTTCTGGATTTTGTTTCGAGAATACTGAAGTGACTATGCATTCCTTAGAGACGTCTGGACTACTACAATTCGGAACGGGACTTCACTTCTCCTCCGGGCGAACTGACGACTCTCGGCAAAGTTTTGTACGAATACGGATAAGGCACAATTGTAGCAAAGTTCTCAATAAAGTATTGTTAGTGTTTTATTTGTCTATAATTTTACTCATTTCACTGCCCACCATCCAAGCCGCACGCCTCCACTGGCAGTAAATTTTGCGTGAAGGTGATATAAGATAATAAGTACTATAATAATGGAAAGGCATAAACAGAATACTTCACACTCTTCTAGAACAAATTTTATGGAAGAATAAAATGAAGATGAGTCGCACATGTGGCTCACATGATGAGGCGCACATTTACTCCTCAACATGTGATAAGTACTTCCCTTTTCATTTAAAAACCCCCTTTGGAAACGGTTTAGTAGTTCCCAAAGGAAGACACAAATAATTGTCAAAAGAACGGAATGTGAGTTTATTTCAATCATCACGTACGCTTATAAAAGGGGAGGATTTGGGGTCGTATCAATTTTGTAAAAAAATTTAAAACGTACATTCTGAGGCAGCATTTCGATTTGCAACCCTCGTGTGAGCCTCTGACCCCGAAAGTGGTCGATTCAAGTCCGGGACCAATCACTCGAGTCGTGTAAAAGCTTTTGCTGAGCGTGAACATGCCCAAACAAAAATATATGCACACGTTCGTTCACGAGATATTTAAAAATACTCTGACTACACATAAATTTGGTTTTGTAACTTAGTTTTGATTTTATAAACCAAATGGGTGCACTAGATAATTATCGTCCTGGTCACCTCATTATTGTGACGACGCCAGTTTGTTTTGTTTGTGTTTTGGCAAACACGAAGGTGGAGGGAAAATTCCTTTGTATTTGCTTGATGTAGTATTCTATTGTTTTAAAACCATTTTGAGTCATGCAGGTAAATGAAAAAAAATTTTCAAAAGGACTATTTTTTGAAAGGAGTGCAAATGCCCTAGTTCTCTCCACAGGCAAGAGAAGTGTAAAATTTTGAAAAGAACAAAAGCACAAAATGACATTTGTGCCAATTCAATTATTTTATCTTTATAACGTATATTTTGGAATGAAGAAAAAGTGTAAACATTAAATCTCTGAAATGTTTTTAATATAATAACGAAAATAAGTTTACTTAATTGCATACCTCGAGATATATTTCAGAAGACAATGTGTTTGTGATATTATTCACTTTTAATATTAAACGAATCTGTTGGCTTCACTTTCACACAATGATCAGGAAAATAAAATGCACATATTCAATCACATTCTCATATTGATTCTAATATTATTCAAGTTAGACTTATTAGAGTTCGAACACCAGAGAGCAATTCAATAATTTTGTAACAAATCACTTTTTGGAGTAGGTTTTAAATCGAAATTTCGCTATTTTTTATTCTTGGGTACTCAAAAATATTGGTGTTAAATTTGGAAGAAATCACTTCAGCGATTCTAAGTTTTTTGTGGCAAAGGTTAACTTACACACAATTATACTTTCATCTTTATAGAGGTACTGACATCATAATCTCGTACAAATTGAATAAAAACCGAGAGATCATTATATTGTGAACATGCAACCACATGCGTGCGTATTAATGTGTGTTGCAGCGCGTTTGCAGAGTTCTTCATACCAGAGAATAATACTCGATCGCTTGTGTTTAGATCCTGCAGAATTTATAGCCTGCTTTCATTGCTGCTAACCTTTGAAAAGCCACATCCGGAGTCAGTAGCAGGCCACCCCAACACAGAACGCTAATTAACACTCCGGAACATTCATATTGATAAGCTTAAACATGTTTCGAATTACCCCGTTCTATTGGTTAATTAATTTGCTAGATAAATAGCAAATTCATTTCCGTTAATTTAGTTAACATAATTACAGGTCCGTATGCGCATCATGACCATTCAGATTGAATCAGATAAATCAGATTGAAAAAAACTGCATGCCTCCTCAACACACATATTGTAATTGTGAAATGCACGTGCTTCCCTCTCCCTTTTTTCCTTCCTGTGGTTTTTCCAGCTCCAACCCGCACCGGGTACCCGCTATGTCTCTCATGAGAGCACATATGAACATACACATACACTACACAAACTGCCTGGCTCCTCAGTCTAGATTCAGTAGCCTGAAGGCCTTCCACAACAACACATGTAAATGCAAGGAAGAACCAAAAAGAACACATTGCGTTCTGCAAAGTAATGGAAGATAATGGATGAAAGAAGCATAACGAGATGCTTGATTTATGGAATAAAGAACACTAGGTACTCACCCTTTCCTTATCCATTTCCCTATCGTTTCCGTTGAGAAGGAAAGTTGTTAATTCTTACACTATATCAAAAAATAAAACAATACAAATGACGTTTGCAACAAATTTTCAATTAAGGTTTAATCAGTATTATAGACAGTTTCTTCCAACAATTCACACTTCCTTAAAAACAGTTGAAGTTCCTTCACAGCGTTTCGCTTTCCTTGATAGTCACAAAAATATTAGAAAACGTCTTTGCTCTTGAGTAAAGTTTTCCATTTTAAATATAGGGACGGGCAATTACAACCTTACTCTTTGCAATATTATTTAAATTTCCTGGATTTGTTAAGAGGAATAATGGGGGTTTTGAAGGGTTATGGTGCCGGCTTTCTGGGGTGTAAAAATTGAAAAATTATTTGTATACTAAAAATATTGGATTTTTTGCGCTCTTACTTACCTCAATAAAAGCAATTCCGAGCCACGAATAATAAAACTAATATTTTCGCCTTTGAGGAATAAATAACATTAGTTACCATTACAGAAAATGCTGAACGCTTAGACTTCACTTCGGTGCATGAAAATGTTGCTCAAACGATATTTACGAATTGAATATCTTAGCGAACCGACACTTTAAGTTTAATATCAACCGTTGTATTATTTACAATATGAGTTTACAGCAGGGCTTTGATGTAAAGACTTCCAGATACCACCAACATTTAAATCGTGCGTCTGGATTGTGAACGTTGGCAGTTGGCGAATAACTTGAGCTATTCTTTCTATAATTTTAAATTTGGTTACTTTTTTAAATTAATTCACGATGTATTGTAAGCCAGTGCGGTTTGATTTTTGTTGTTCATTTATGTCGAGCTATTTTTCTGCAGTTCCTTAAAAACGTTTGTTCATTTTGTTGTGCATCGATATTGGAAGCATAAAGCCGGGCCTTCGCTTGTAGCTAGTGCCACAGGACATAAACCGAAATATTTTTAACATCTAATAAGAAGTGAAAATTCATTAGAAAAAGACGTAATGCTGAGGAGTGCTGAAGGTTGAAGAGGCAAAGACGAACAAGATGGACGGGCGAAATAAAAAAAAACATGCATTTATTGTGGGCTGAAATCTTCAAAGCGACAGCTGACCACAGGAAATGGAAAGCGGTGTTCACAGCGAAAATAGAAAGAAGACCATATGAAGGGAGTCAGCCCTAATTGATGGTAATATCCTTATGAATCACCAGAGGTGATCACGACCTAACGATCTACCTAGGTTTTAGATATACAATTCTTTTAAAATTTAAATACGGAAACAAGTTCCGCAGACACTAATTGAAGTTGTTTTTTTATTAAAGCTACGCCATTCATTCTAAATCATCCTATTTCCTACCCATTTAGTACCATATCTCAGTTTCGGGTTATATTTTTCAAAAAATCGGGTCGCAGTTTTACGGGAGTGAAACAGGAAATAAGACGTATTTGCGAGTGGATCTGCCTTGGACGTCTTTGCAAACGCTCGTGTCCTCTTGACCAACCCCGGACGCAACGCCCTGCTTGGTAGTGGGCGTGGTTAAAAGACGGGGTCGGACCAGCGTTTCGGGGGAAGAACGCTTGTTCGAGCCTGCCCTGGGGATAATTGTTTGTATCAACTCTGTTGCCGCAGAGATATTTTAGGAATTTGTTGAAAATAATTTGAAGCAATTCTACTCACATCTATAATATAAAAATTAATCGCAAAATGTGTTGGTAAGTGCATAACTCAACAACGCCTGGACCACAAGTTGAGCAATTCTTTTTTTTACAATGTTCGTTATGGGTTCAAGATGGTTTTTAAGTCAGAGAAAAAAATTCGCAATAATTGCCGAAAACTAAAAACAGCTTTTCTTCTTTCCCCATTGAACAAACGTTTTCTCAACTACAACGTAGTCAATTTGAGCTTTATAGCCTATTCGAGATAAAGCACTCATTGTTTGAGTAGCACAAGCACTTATTGTCTTAGTATGTTCCTAACGTGTCAAAAGATCAAATTTGCTAGGGTTGCCACCTCTCCGCTATTTAGACCGAGAGACTCCAGTTTTTTGCAGCTTCATCTTCCCGGTTTTTGAAAAAATTATCTTTGTTTTTTTTTTTTTTTTCAATTTCA